CTCTCTCTCTCTCTCTCTCTCTCTCTCTCTCTCTCTCTCTCTCTCTCTCTCTCTCTCGGGGACATTTCCCCCCTGTCCCAGGTGGAAATTACGCCATGCGTGTGTGCGTCAAGTGCAATAAATATATATGCAAGTTGCAAAACACACAGAGTAAAACTCTGCCCCCCATGTGTTGTATAGGCTGCATGATAGGCTGCTCAATGGGGCTGCTGTGTTGTGTAGATTCTGCCAGAAGGAAAATCAGCGGGGAGGTGCCACATTGCTTTTCTTCCAGACTGCAACGCTGGTCCCGCAAATCAAGCAAGAACGTGATTGGTCGATATTCATTGTGGGGGTGGGGGGAGGAGGGGTGTTAGATAGATATAGAGTTGTAGTAAGTAGATAGAGTTCGCTATGATTTAGGTTTTGTTTATGCATAGGGTAGATTCTTTTAATTACATTTCCTTTTTTGTTTTGTGTATTTTATACATTTTGGATTTGCTTGGTGAGCTATTTTTAGAACATGCCCCGCGGGCGACTCACGTTGCCCCTGCGGGCGACCAAGTGCCCACGGGCACCGTGTTGGCTACCCCTGATGTACAGTATGCTTTGTTCAATATAATATAATATATGCTTTGTGAGCTTTTTGTCTGTTTTAAGGGTTGCAGAGAGGGGCAGCTGTGTTGGTGAGCCTCTGTAGGGACTGTGTGTCGGCCGCTGTACAGCCTGCGTACCACACTGAGAGGCAGTGGGTCAATGTGCTCTCTGTGGCAGAGTGGTAAAAAGCCACCAGCAGCTTTTCACATAGATGGTTCTTCCTGAGGAACCACAAAAAGTGCAGTCGCTGCTGTGCCTTTCTCTTGATGTGAGTTGACCAGGAGAGGCTGTCTGATAAGAGGGTCCCCAGGAATTAAAAGCTGTGGCCTCACACGCAGTCACCATTGATGAAGATGGGAGGGGGGTAAACAAAGTGAAGTGAAGTCCCTCGGAAGTCTGCATGAAGTCTGTTGATGACTGTTGTTGGGACTGCATAAAGGTTTTTTTGTTTCTTCCCCGGTGTAAACAGTGTACTGTGGCCCTCTGGCTTTAGAGCAATGGCACAACTAATCTTGTTGATTCAATAACGCCATGACTTCTTTTGTAAATATTGTAGAAACATATTGATTATTGTGCTTTGAATTCATTTCTTTTTTCCCCATGGTCACCAAGACATGAAATAACTATTTTCTGATGTATGAGTATTATAGACTACTTTTCACTGTGGCTTTTGAATACATTTCTGAGTGATAACATTTTCGTCTTCTTTTTTCTTTTGTACTTATGGTCTCATAACTATTTGTACATCAATGTGACATCCCTGTAGCCTACATATGCTGACAGCTAAGCTTGTTATGAAAAACAACATGTATATTACTTGATTGTGCAGCACAGGGTTCATGTTTTAAAAGCATCTATACAAAAAAAGCCCAGGCGAGCCAAACATGTGGAAAGCGGGCTTAGACCTTAGAGGGTTAAGGGTTAAAAGGGATACATCAGCCATGTTGCAGGGAGAATTCTA